ACGCCAAGATCTAGCAGGTATGCGCTGATGTTTCATGAATTTTGCCTGAAGGTCTCTGGGCTCATCTTGAACCTTTTTAATAACACTCCTTTTATGTAGTCATAGTTGTCAAATTTATCTTCCTGACTCTCTGGCTATTAGCTGAGTAATATCGGGCGGCATGCGTGCCAAAAGAGCCGATACCCAATTCGTTTTCTCTACTCAATACGTTTCGCTTGTCTCTCAAACAGGGTAAGGGAAAAGAACGATATCTCCATCCCTTATGTCGAAATTCGGAATGATTTTAATTAAATCACTAACACTTGTTTTAAGCGGGCTTAAATTTTCAGGATCGAATCGCGATCTTTCGATTTCCAAGCGCATTTTCTCAAACTCGAATTCGCGTTGTTGCTGGATTTTCTCATACTTTCCCTTTCAAGGCGTTCCTCTAAAATAACAGATAACTGATCTCTAACGAACTCTTCTTCGTAATCTTTGCTACGGATTATGATATTCCTTAGCTCTATATTCGTCATTTTTATCTGATACCTTCTGACCTAACTCCTCAGCCAACAACACTAAATCTTGCTTTTTAGCCTTCCCCAAGAATGCCATTTGAAAATTTTTTTTCTCTTAAAATATACTCAAACTAACCAATAATAGGACGAAAATAACACTAAAAGGAATTGCAAAAATTAAGTACCACACATATATCCTTCATTAAAACCCCCACAAACAACGTCCGCTACGCTAACTCAATACTCGATGAACTGGGAAGAAAACAAAATAATAGTCATGTGTTTCACAATATCCAAAAAAAAAAAATGTACTTAATACTCTATAAATAGAACTTAATATATTACTGATTATTCAATAATCACTTAAAAATATTACCTATACACAATAATCACTTAAAATATTACTAATACACAAGAATCACTTGAAATATTACTGATACACACGAATCACTTAATATATTGCCGATATTTAATAATCACCTACAATATTACTGACACACAATAATCACTTAAAATATTGCTGACACACAATAATCACTTAAAATATTACTGACACACAATAATCACTAAAATATTATTGACACACAATAATCTCCTATTTCTGATATACACAATATAATCACTTAAAATATAACCGACATGCACCACTTAATCTATTCCTGGCTGGAATAATAGAACACTACAAAATATATTCGGTAGTTTTTCTCCAATTTAACTGATAATATATTTTTTTTTTTCATTAATCGAAAAATACTATGCGTAACATAAGCACAAAAATAATTTCATTGACATGAGATTAAGTATTATTCTTTAACATTAATTTTTTTAACAAACCCAATTGCTATTCACTGACGTGAATTTATTACCGTGTACATTACAAAATAAATAAATATCATAAAGAAAAAAAAAAAAACATACAATCTTTCCTTAATTTATAGAACTGATGTTCTAAAAAACACTTTCCATTTATATGGAACAATAATAAAAATATATATATATACTGATGTATATAATAATTCCCAATTGAACTGGCGTTCAAAAATTTTATAACTGCATGTGGATATGCAATAAAATAATATACTGAGAGAATTAATGATTTTGAAGTTTTCCTTAATTCATAGAACTGATGTTCTAAAACTTACTTTCCATTGATATGGAACAAGAAATAATAAAAAATATACTGATATATAATAACTGAAATTTGAACTGGCGTTCAAAATTTTATAAATAACTGCATGGATATGCAATAAAATAATATACTGAGAGAATTAATGATTTTGAAGCTTCTTAATTTTAGAACGGATGTTCTAAAACTTACTTTCCATTGATATGGAACAAGAATAATAAAATATATATACTGATGTATATAATTAATTCAAAAATTGAACTGGCGTTCAACAAGTTACAACTGCATGGATATGCAGAGCAAAAAACGTACACTGACGTATACAAAAAATAAAATCAAAATTCTCTCTTAATAAATGGATATTAAACAGTATAATTTTTTATAAATTTCTCTCGTCTTACATTACAGGAGCGCAAAGCAAAAAACTCTTACCTGATTCATTTCCACGCGGGAATCCAGAAAACTCGAAATTTCTGGAACGTTCTTCCTGTGGGGTTTTCCACTAAGACTCGATCATTAACGGCTGCGCCAGTAAAGTTTGTTTCTAATCAATGGGCACGGAAACAATTAAGAAAAAAACCTGGCATTTAAATTTTAAAAATTAAGGTTTATTAAAAAAAAAGATTTAAAGAAAACGGTTATTATACAGTTAGCAACACTCGGACATGACTTCACTCCGTCGTACCCAAAGACCGAATTCCTGCCACTTGCCATTCCACATTCCAAGGGGGAGGGGAAACTACCCATTTCCCTTAGCTGGTGTCAATGGGCCTTCCCACTCCTACAATATGTATATACATACTTATATTAATTATAATTATTTAATCAAAAATAACTAAAACAAAAATTTTCTTTGTTGACCTCTGTAGGAATTGACTTGATTTTTTTTTCTTCATATTACTTGTTATTTTTATACTCGCATCAGTTATCTCTCAAATCCTTTAAATATTTGTTCAACGAAATTCATGTTTATTTCAAGTAACTCTCTCTGTTTTCTTCACATCAATCTTTTCTTTACCAATTATATAAGCTAGGGATGGTGAACCATTGGTACTCGTGTCATTCATGGCACGTGGCACAATATTTTGGGCCGCCAGCGATCAAAATGGTTTGCATTTTATTTCAAAATAACGAAGTTCACTATGAAGTGTTATGAACAAACGCGAGTTATCGGTCGCGGAGGGGAGCCCACTCGTTTACTGTCTTGCGTTAGTTACGTCGTTGACTATAATTGCTTATGATACAAAGTTTGCCTACGCACAGCTTAGTCAATTTTATTGGCACAACTGTATTTTAAAGTTTATTTGTGTTATATTTACAATTTTTAACTGTTATGTAACATAGCTATTTTAGCAAAAGAATAAAAAGAGCAAGATAGTAAGTGTAACAGAGAATTTCAAATTGGTGAATCTAGAAATATGGTATTAATAGTAAACGCGACAAAAAAAAAGAAAAAGAAGTGGTGTATGTTTTATGTTCTAATATAGTGATACGTAGAACATCTTCTGTAAAACCGAATTTTGAAACAAATCGCAAATCCTCTTGTCAAAAAAAGTGAACTACAGCAAAAATAATTTATTGCGATAGACAGAGGACTTCAATTGAGCATGCATTCTACTAAAAGTAATATCTTACAATCCTAATATCAGTTATTCGTCATCAAATCTGCAACAACAGAACTCACACAAATGTTACTAATTTGAATTCAGTGGCGTAACGTACACCCCCGCATCGCGGGGGGGCAGGGCTCTAGAGGGCCCACAGCCTGACTATCGCCAAGTACCTAGCCTTTGTAAAATCCAACTTGGGGGCCCAAAACCTGACTTCGCAGAGGGGCCCAAGTGTTCTCCGTTACGCCACTGTTTGAATTAGACATATAACTAAAACATTTAGAACTATACAGTGTAAAAGGTATTTTTTCGTAGTAAATAGAGTTTTGTGTTTTTAATATTTACCGTAAAATCCGGCGTATAACACTCACTTTTAACACAAAAAAAAATAAGACTGAAATTCAAGAGTGCGCGTTATACGCCGGGTATGTGTTTATTTGAAAGAAATGGCATTCCTTTTGAACTTAAAGGGTTGTAATTCTAGAAATATACTAATTTTTCTAAAGCTTTTGGAATAATACATTGAATAAATGGCTTCGAAACATAACAGCATTACATACGTACATTTCAGGATTCTTTGTATAAAGTAAGTGCGCGTTATACGGCGAATATACTTAAATGAAAAAATGAAGCTTGAAAGTATAGGTGCACGCTATACACTGGATTTTACGGTAGTTTTATTATTTTCCCAATAATCACAAGTCAAAATTATTTGTGACGGCACGTCTACACCTCATTAAACACTTCTTTAGAGAAAATGGCACGTTGATCTATAAAGGTTCTCCACCCCTGATATAAGCACCATAATTAATAATTTTCAAAACAACTTTTTTTCAAAAAATTGGCTCTGCTTGAAGCTGGCATTATTTTTCCGGGTCTATTGACTTCGCAGCTATGTATATAAAAAATTCTAATCTGTAACGGCGAATGTTACTGTATCGAATTTTAAGTTTGTTATACGATACGAAGAATGTCGAAAAAATTTACGTCTCAAAACAAAGAAACACATGATATACGTCTAGTAGAGATATGCGGAGATTTTTCCCCTCTCCTTTGTTATGTAAGGAGAATAAAAAAATAACCCGCGGGCGTAAGAGGTATCATGTATCTTATAGTAATATGAAATACCTGTAGAGTGTTCATACCAGGTAATTTCCTTCCCTATCTGCTCTTTGAATCGCAAAACTTTTTTATTTATTTACGATTACCGTCTGTTAAGCATTTTTGCATTAAAATTGTTTTTTGTGTATGGATAACTTCAAAACACATACACTACTCTGTTCTTACCAAATTTCTCTACCTTCTCTTCTCCTTGACTATTAATCATGTGTCCCTTTTTCAATTCCTACTATTAGTTCACTCTCTCTATATATAGAGAGAGAGAGAGAGAAGAGAAGGCAGAGAAATTTGGTAAGAACAGAGTAGTGTGTGTGTTTTGAAGTTCCTACTATTAGTTCACTCTCTCTCTCTCTATATATATAGAGAGAGAGAGAGAGAGTGAACTAATAGTAGGAATTGAAAAAGGTATAGATAGAACAAGATATATATATATATCTTGTTCAAATTTTCAATCGTTAATGAAATACTATTTATTCATCCACTCAAGTTCAAACATATTTTTTTAAACTTGTAGTGAATGATACTTGATGTTAATGCAGTATTTTTCAAATATTAAGTCATTAATTAATTTAAGTTAATTAATGAATGAATAATAACAAGCAAAAATGATAGTCCAACACCAAAAATAAAAAGGAAAATCGCTTTTAAGTCCCTGTCGCGCAATGGATAGCGCGTTGGACTTCTAATCCAAAAGGCGTGTGTTCGAATCCCACGTGGGATGGTGTACTTTCTCAGAATGTATGTTCTCACAGTTTCCAAACAATGTAAAGCATTAAAAAATGTAACAGTTTTCATAAAAGTTTCATTACCGATTTCTGCATCAGAATCGCTATTCATTGGCTCCGACAAATCAACAAATTCCCCAACTTCAATTGCACAGATAGGCCGTCAAATGTAACGTAATCGCTAAAATCTTAAAATTTCCCAGGCATTGTGGAGTGCGTTGATATAAGAATTGCCTATTCTATTCAAAACTCACACGATAGATTACACTCATGACTCATCTGTTATAAGTCTAATAATTCTAATAGCACACTTTCCGGCCGAAATTTGCTGCGAACAAGAAAAGTCTTTTTCTGTTCCGGACAATTTCATTTGAAAAAAAAATAAATTTTTTTCTAATAATACCTAATTAAAAAAAGTTTTCCAACTGTTAAAATAATTCGTTAATCCCGGATTTATTATTCGTTAAATGGGCTTTTACCTTCTTTTTACTGGGGACAGAGAAAAATTCGTTAAATAAGGGTTCATTGAATCGGGTTCAACTGTATATTGTTCTTGAGATGTTTCATATCCTTATAACTTAAATTTTTTTCAAAGTAGAAAATTATAATATAATATTTTAAAAAGCACGAGATAAATTTCGAATCAACATTAGGAGGGGAAAAAATAATAAAGCACCTTTTATATTTAAATAAATATTGGTAGATTTAAATAACTTTAGTACTCCATTTATACAGATTGTATATTTTAATTTCTGAATTAAAAAAGGTGTACAACTTTGCTTCCGCCGTTTTGCAATAGATGGCTGTAGCGGTAAGTGGAAATCGAAATAAATGGATCGTAAATGTCATACAATAAGCTTAGGTATTTGTAAACATAACGCCATCGAAATATTAGTCGATGTGTGTCTGCATCATAAAGTTATTCTCGATTAAACATGTCAGCTTACGAGCCAAATTCTCGTCATTTGCGGGAGGTTTTAATTTTCTGCTTTAATATGAAGAAATCTGTGGCTGAGGCTCATCGAATGCTCTCAAATACCTATGGTGAGGCCGCTATTAGTGAAAGAACGTGCCGAGAGTGGTTTGAACGCTTCAAGTACGGTGATTTTGAAGTCGAATACCAGCATGGCGGTGGAAGAGAGAAGGTTTTCGAAGATGCAGAATTGGAGGCATTACTTGATCAAGACTCGTGTCAAACGCAACAAGAATTGTCAGGATCATTGGGAGTGACGCAACAAGCCATTTCAAAACGCCTGAAAGTCATGGGAATGATTCAGAAACAAGGAAATTGGGTGCCGTACGAGTTGAGGCCGAGAGATGTTGAACGACGTTTGTTTGCTTGTGAATAGCTGCTTGCAAGGCAAAGACGGAAGAGATTTCTGCATCGCATTGCGACTGGCGACGAAAAATGGGTTCGTTACGATAATCCCAAGCGCAGAAAATCCTGGGGATATCCCGGCCATGCTTCCACGTCGACGGCCAAACCGAATATTCACGGTTCCAAGGTCATGCTCAGCATTTGGTGGGACCAGCTCGGCGTAGTGCATTATGAGTTGTTAAAACCGACTGAAACGATCCCAGGCGATCGTTATCGAACGCAATTAATGCGTTTGAGCCGAGCATTGAAAGACAAACGGCCGCGATACAACGAGAGACATGATAAAGTGATTTTACAGCATGACAATGCTCGACCCCATGTTGCGAAAGTGGTCAAGACATACTTGGAAACGTTGAAATGGGAAGTCCTACCCCACCCGCTGTATTCTCTAGACCTTGCTCCCTCGGATTATCACTTGTTTCGATCAATGGCACACGGCCTGGCTGACCAGCACTTCCGGTCTTATGAAGAAGTAAAAAATTGGATTGATTCGTGGATCGCTTCAAAAGATAACCAGTTTTTTCAACGCGGGATTCGTTCCCTGCCCTAAAGATGGGAGAAAGTAGTGGCCAGTGATGGACAATACTTTGAATCATAAATGTATAATCAGTTTTTTACAATAAGTCTCGAATTTCGGAAAAAAACGGTGCAAGCAAAGTTGTACACCTATTATTTAAGGTGAACAATTTTTGTTTAATTACAAAAGTTTTGGAATTAAAAATTGTAGTAAAAATAATAATAAAGAGTTATACATAACATGTCTTCGCATTTCAATTGAGATCTATGAGGAAAAATTTAATGAAATAAATGTAAATATCGTTTGAGATTTATCATTTCTTTTTTTATACGCTGAGTTAAAATGACGAAAATTATATATGCATATACATACTTTAAATAAAGTGACTTAAGTTATAAGATAATATATAATTTTAAATCAAAGTTAAATTTCTTTTAACTTAAAATGCTGAATCATGTGAAAGAAGTCATAACGCAAAATCGTTTAAATACGGAGTGGGCATTAAGTTGATCGCGATCGACCGGTGGGCCATTAAGAAATTTTAGGGTGACCGCCTGAAGATTAGCAGTTAGTTATTATATACCGAAATATTCAAGATTGGCTGACCGTATGCAGACTGCCTACTATTCCAGTAACGTAACGTACACCCCCACGTCGCGGAAGGGGGGGGGAACAGGATTCTAGGGGTCCCAAAACCTGACAGGGTCCGCAAAAATGAGAAGTAATTCGTACCCGGGAAAAGTTTGTCCTCTCCTGATTTAAAGTGTTTTTCCCTACCCAATTTTCTAATACATTATATGCGTAGTATAAATTTTTTATTCATAAATATAAATCACTAGCTAAACACAAAGACAAATGCATAGAAAATGTTATAGGTAAGAATAGTTAAGATATCTTTGTTTTTAGTCTTATTAACGTTTCTATCATATAGTCAGTTTTTAGACATTTTAGTAAAAAGTTATATTTCCTTTAAAATTTTCATTTTTTATTACAAATGTTACTCTTATTTTTATATCTGTATTTTTAATGAAAATAATGAAAGATAAAATTAAACTTTAATTCTAAAAACATCTCCATTTACAGCAAGAAAATATTTAAATTTTCTCTTTACTCTCTCAAATTCTCTACTTTTCTTAAGCTGCTTAAGCAATTTTTCTTTTCAGAGCTGTATCACATAACCATAATCCCTTCGTGAAAGAAATGCATATTGTTAGCTAATATTTGTTATCTATTATTTCAGTAAAAAAAAAATTAGCATAGTTAAAGATTATTCACTGGACGAAATCTTGCTACATTGTATCACGGCAAGTAGCAAACAGGCGTTATTATGTTACCACTTTTTGCCGTTTCCTTATACATGTCTAAAAATTCCTCAATACTTTCTTTTGGCGACCCTTTGGCGACAATGTAAAATCCTGGCAACCCATCATAGACGAGTGTCAATAATACGGCGCCGGAGCCTTATTTTATGGAGATATCTTGCTCGGCATTGTGGGTAATGATGTCAGAAAATTTTATTTTGACAGGGAGGGGGAAAAGGGAGCTTGAATCCACCAAGGGGGCCGATTTGAGAACTCCCTCCCCCTCCTTCGATTTCTTTGAAGACAAGCGTGTGAATTTATTATTCGTTGATTAGACTGAGCGGTTGGGTAAAAAAAAATGATATCTATCTGTCTCTTGAATTAATATTATCACCCTGTTTGACCGGCAGGTACCAGAAAATACAAAGTGCAGTATTTCTCCTTCAGCGATTGCTGCTAGAATACGAATTAGGAAAGGACTGAATGAATTGAGGCAACAGCGAAAATTGAAGCATTCTTCAAGCGATTAGATTCTTAACGCCTTTGTCATGTTAGGATTCGATTGCAGATAAATAAAATTCATACGTTTTACAACCATGCCTGTCGGAAAATTTGAACTTTTTTGTAGAGGATTGTTCAACACATCCTATATACTTTCTTTTTCTATTATCGGGAAAAAATGGGTTCTTTATGATTATCAATTCCTGTGTTTCTGCAAATCGTTGCATTGGTACGTTTTTTGTTAAGAAATTTAGCTCGGAATTTGAGTACAGTAATTTAAGCTAAGTCAATCTTAATTGCATTCTTCGATTTTTAAACTAAATTGTGTGTATGAATTATTTTTCCGTCTCCTAAATATTAAAAACTCTGCCATTTTGGTTTGTACTGCGATGTCTTTTATTAATAAATATGAAAAACACACATACTGTGAGTGACGAGGTGTCCATAGCCCTCGTGCAGCTTTCAGAGTAACGTTAATGTTCCTCTCCCTCTGTCTGCTTAAGCAAAACCAATTGTTTATTTCAAGTTGTTTTTTATCTCAATATAAGGAAATTAATTCAGTTCTAAACACAAGTTATCTATTTTTTTTCATGTAATGAACAGAATTTTTTCTTGAAAGGTTTTCAATTTTAAACTTTGGTCATTTTATTGAAGAAACAAAGGAAAATTTTTAATGAGACAAAAGAATTAAAATCTCTTTTAATCTGAAATGCTTAATGCATTCAAATGTAGATTTATTCTTCATATTATTCTATCTAACTAATGATATATATTAAAGAATTACTTATTTAGGAGTTAATAAAATTAAAAATAATTTTTAACATTTTTATCAACATTAGGTATTTTTTAAATGTAAAAACAGTTGCGGATAAAAAAAAAATTCATTTCTAAAAACTCGTTTATATATTTCATATTATTAACTATTTTTATATATAACATGATTAAAAATTAATTTCCTTTTTATTTTAAATATTGAATATTTTGCAATCATTATAACACAGTGGCGCACACAAAAGGTGAGGGGAGGGTCCGGACCCTCCCCCCCTCAAAATCGTTGATTTTTTTTTCGATTGATTATAATCTTATGTATATAGCATGTAAAATTTTATCACGTATTCGTGATTAATAATTAATTTTATTAATTAATTCTAATTATTTATTCAATAATTAATTTTTTACTGTTTTTGTGCCCGAAAATCAACAAAAAAGATTATGTTGGGCGACATATTGGAGCTTGATACGAGAATAGTAGACTTCCGACCCTGGACCACCCCCTTGAAAAATTCCTGTGTGCGCTAC